TACTATTGATTAGGAATGATATTCCGCTTATGGAGGATGTCAAGGCCTCATTGAGAAAGAGTTTATCTAAGAAGGACCTTGGAGAAGCAGCCTACATACTAGGCATAAAGATCTATAGAGATAGGTCTAAACGCTAAATTGGATTAAGCCAGAGCATGTACCTTGACAAGGTGATGAATAGGTTCGACATGAATGATTCCAAGAAAGGATTCATACCTATGTCACATGGTGTAACCTTGAGCAAGACTCAATGTGCGTCGTCGCCTGATGAGCAAGAAAGGATGAGTCGGGTGCCATACGCTTTGGCTATTGGCTCGATCATGTATGCCATGTTGTGCACCCGCCCAGACATTTCGTATGCTCTAAGTGTTACGAGCCGGTACCAATCCAACCCGGGTGATGGTCACTGGGTTGCAGTAAAAAATATCCTAAAGTACTTCCGAAGAACTAAGGATATGTTCCTAGTCTATGGAGGTTCGAAGGAGCTCGTTGTAAAGGGTTACACCGATGCTAGCTTCCAAACTGACTAGGACAATAGCAAATCTCAATCGGGATATGTCTTCTGCCTCAATGGTGGTGCAGTGAGCTGGAAAAGTTTCAAGCAAGAGACAGTTGCAGATTCGACAACAGAAGCTGAGTATATTGCAACTTCGGAAGCTGCAAAGGAAGCTGTATGGATCAGAAAATTTATTTATGAGTTGGGCGTGGTCCCTAGTTGCTCCAGTCTGATAGACCTCTATTGTGACAATAGTGGTGCTATCGCACAGGCAAAGGAGCCTAGGTCGCACCAGAAGTCCAAACACATACTACGGCGATATCACCTGATTCGAGAAATCATCGATCGAGGAGATGTGAAGATATGCAAGGTGCACACCGACCTGAACATTGCAGATCTGTTGACTAAGCCACTCCCACAAGCAAAGCATGAGATGCATACGAAGTTAATGGGCATGAGATGCTGGCATAACTGACTAGCACTAGTGGGAGGCTTATGATGATGTATTCCATAAAGGTAGTCATAAGATGATGACATCATGTCAATGTTTGTAATCTGCATTTTTCAGTGATATGTTCCATGACTTTGTTATTATATGTGATTAGCGAATACGTGATTCGTTAGTGAAACTCCATGATACAACATTGACATTGTACTAAAAATGGTCCTCAGCTTCCATCCGTCATGCAGGACTGTGACGTAGAGATAAGCTGGTACATATGTTGGGTGGATGATCTTGTTTCACTGGTCATGGCAATATGGGATATTGCGCCAACAATGTAGGCACGTGTTAGGAACACGGTGCCGGATAGACCCACTACGAGACACCGCGAATACACTGCTATCGGTGAATCTCGTAACGACACGCATATTACATCCTTAGACCTGAGATCGGTACAGAGTCCCATATTGTGGAGCATCACATTTTGGGGTTGCTAAACGCTATTCTGTAACTGGGTAGTTATAAAAGCAATTTTCGGATGTGGTTGAAGCAAGTCGCAGGGTGTACCGAGTCAAGAAGGAATCTGCCCCTCCCGTTTCAGGAGAGACTCCTCTGGGCCCTCTCGATGTGATGAACTGAAAGCGCATGGCCATGCCTCGACTAAAGGTTAGTCGATCAGAAAAGTTCTTCACTGAGCGAGAAATGGCTAAGAATAAGGGTAGCACTTCATTCGCCTTACACTTGGCTAGGTGTCGTGTGGCAGAAGGATATATTATTGGCAAGTGTTATAGGTTATGCAAGATATTATCTTCGTGAACATTCGGGAGTCAGTATGCCTTGCTAGAGGCCAATGCTAACTATTGATCGGAAATGGTTTCCGAATCTTGTCCATAGGTTGCATGAACCTACGAGGTCACACACTTAAGGGATTGGAACACATGGATACTTGCATAATTAACTCTTGTGCAAGTGGGAGACTGCTGGTAATGCCCAAGAGGGGCCTAGCCCAATTAGCGCTGACCCAATTAGCAAGTCTATAAATGCTAATCAGCTTTTAACCCTAGAAGGTATTCCTGCTGCCACAGGGCTCCTGCCAGTGCAGCCGCCGGCCAACCGCACTTGCAGTGCCCCCGCGATCAAAGGTTGATCGTGAGGATCTTCGAGTACGTGCCATGGAGTGCTAGCACGCTCCGGTTTGTCGTCCCATCCCGTATGTGTGGACTACCGTAGAGGTGTCGCTAGGTTGCGCACTTCGCTAGATCGTACGACTACTTCATCGACGTTGATTGGATCGACTACTTGCGCTTCGTCAAGACTTCCGCTGCGACCAGCGACGAGCGAAGGTATAATCTATGATCATCTACTCGCAAGTGATCCTGTTTACACGGTTAATTCTTTGTGCGCTAGCGAGTAGCATACCGCCTTTCCTAACAGGGATCGAGGTCTCGTTAATAAAAAAGCACAGGAGGCTCATCGATGTTCATGTGCGTGAGTCTGGGACATCTCCGCGATTCAGGATCACGTTTGTGTATGGTGAACCCCGCACGGAAGATAGACACTTGATGTGGGAGCTGATCCGGCGCTTGCATGGGGCCTCGTTGGAGCCGTGGCTTCTCATTGGTGATTTCAACGAGGCCATGCGGGGGTACGAGCATTTTTCAGCATGTCAAAGACCTGAGCGGCAGATGGCCGCTTTTCGGGATGTGCTTGCTGATTGTGGTTTGCTGGATCTTGGTTTTGTTGGCTTACCTTTCACTTATGACAATGGCCGAGATGGTAATGCAAATGTGAAGGTACGGTTGGATAGAGCAGTGGCTGATACTCGGTGGAGAGGATTTGTTCAGTGACGCTACTTTACATCATTTAGTGTCATCACGTTCTGACCATTGTCCGTTGATGTTGGAGATTAAAAAGGAGAGCTGGGAAAGGCACAAGCCAAGGATCTTTCGCTATGAGATCATGTGGGAGCGCCTCGAGTCCTTGGCTGTGGAAATCAAGGAAGCATGGTGTTCTGCTCCAAGTAGAGAGGGGTTGGGCGGCATTGCTTGTGCTCTGAAACATGTGCAGCGTGCGTTGAGGGCCTGGAGAAAGGAAAAATTTGGGCCGGTCACGAAAGAATTGGATGGGTTGCGGAAACAGGTTGGAGGTCATGAAGGATGACCCCCAGTTCACTAGGTCAGATATCCGACAGGTCACGGACAAAATGGATGAGCTACTGTATAGGGAAGAGATGATGTGGCTGCAGCGCTCTCGCATAGCCTGGCTTCGGGAGGGCGACCGCAATACCCGCTACTTCCATAGACAGGCAGTGTGGAGGGCTAGAAAGAATAAAATTACAAAGCTCAAAACTCCGGAGAATGTATGGTGCGAGGACCCGAAAGTGATGCAGGCCATGTCTGTTGATTTCTTCAGTGATCTTTTTTCTGCAGATCCATTAGTAGACCCGACTGAACTTGTTGATCTGATGGATAGGAAAATTTCCGATGATATGAATGCAGCTTTGTGTAAACCATTCTCTGTCGATGAAATTTCAGATGCTCTTTTTCAAATGGGGCCTTTGAAAGCGCCAGGGCCGGATGGGTTCCCTGCACGTTTCTATCAGCGTCACTGGGAAGTACTTAAAGATGACGTGGTGGCTGCTGTACAGCAATTCTTTGTGGACGGCTTCCTTCCAGAGGGGATCGATGATACTGCTATAGGTCTTATTCCAAAAGGTGCAAATCCGGAAGAACTCAAAGATTTCCGTCCTATAAGTCTGTGCAATGTTATATACAAGATCATCTCCAAATGTTTGGTGAACCGGCTACGGCCTTTCCTTTATGACATTATCTCCAAGGAGCAGAGTGCTTTTGTGCCAGGCAGGTTGATTACGGATAATGCCTTGATTGCATTTGAGTGTATTCATGCTATACAGAGAGATTATGGGAAGGACTTTTGTGCTTACAGGTTGGATTTGTCGAAGGCGTATGACCGAGTTGATTGGGGTTTTCTAAAAAAGTTGATGGAGAAGCTAGGCTTTCAAAGTAAGTGGGTTCAGTGGATCATGACATGTGTTTCTACTGTTCGCTACACAGTTCGCTTCAATGGGGTGCCTTCGCGCTCCTTTTCCCCGTCTCGCGGTCTACGACAAGGTGATCCACTATCTCCTTATTTGTTCCTCCTAGTTGCTGATGGTCTCTCTTCCTTGTTAAGGCATTCGGAAGGTTTGGGTCATCTAGAAGGGCTCAAAGTTTGCAGACGTGCGCCAAGCATTACGCACTTATTATTTGTCGATGACAGTCTCCTTTTCTTCCGTGCAAACTTGAATCAGGCAACTGTTGTCAAGCAACTCCTCCGGTGTTTGAGAAATGCACCGGCCAATTGCTTAGTCCGAGCAAATGCTCTTTGCTAATGAATGAAACCAGAGATGATGTTGTGTGCGACCAAGTTCGTAACCTGTTGGGTGTCCAGCGAGTAGATTTTGAGGCAAAATATCTGGGGCTCCCAACACCATATGGCAGGCTCAAGAGAGGGGCTTTCCAGCCCCTTGAAGAAAGATTCCAAAAAGAATGTCAGCGTGGAAGGAAAAGAAGTTATCTGCAGCTGGGAAGGAGATTCTTATTAAATCAGTAGCACAGGCATTGCCGAATTATGTGATGACTGTTTTCAAGTTACCAGCCACCCTTTGTGATGACCTGATGCGCCATATCAGAGGCTACTGGTGGGGGTCTGAAAATGGGCGCCGAAAAGTTCAATGGGTTCCTTGGGAGAAAATGATTATGCCCAAAGGCTTTGGTGGAATGGGATTTAGAGATCTTCGGTTGGTCAATCAAGCTTTATTAGCTAAACAGGCCTGGAGGCTGGTATACTACCCTCCCTGAAAGTCTTTGTGCAAGGGTTCTGAAAGCTAGATATTTTCCACAAGGCAATTTATTAGATACTGTCCCAGCTGGGGATGCCTCTTCATCTTGGCGGGGTATTGAACATGGTCTTGAATTGCTGAAGCATGGAGTTGTATACAGAGTGGGCGATGGCAGGAGCATACGCATTTAGCGCGACAACTGGATTCCAAGGGCGCATGGAATGAAGCCAATTGGTAGCAGCAGAACCTGTCGACTCAGATGGGTTTCTCACTTAATTGAGGCTGGGACTGGTTCCTGGGATGAAACGCTTGTTAGAAGATATTTCTATGCATGTGATGCTGAAGAAATTCTAAAGATAAAAATTCCCCACCATGGGGGCAGAGATTATGTGGCCTGGCATTTTGAAAAGAATGGGATCTTCTCTGTTAAAAGTGCTTATAGGTTGGCTATGAGAAGGGAGCATGGTGAAGGCAATATTGGCACAAGCTCGACCACTCTGGATGGTAGGACGGTCTGGAAGGCCTTGTGGTCTGCTCAAGTACCTGAAAAAGTGAAAGTTTTTGTATGGAAAGTTGCTAATAATGGCATTCCTACACAGGCCAATAAGTGCTACCGGCATCTGTCACAACTGGAGTCCTGCGAAATATGTGGTTTTCAGCGTGAAGACTGTTTTCATGCCTGTGTAAAATGCCCCCATGCAGTGGCACTTCGACATGCTATGAGAGCACACTGGTTGCTACCGTCTGAGGAAGATTAGACTTTTACAGGACCTGATTGGTTGCTGGTGCTGCTGAATAGATCCTCTCCAGAAGTGATCTCCAATTTTCTCATGATTTTGTGGCGGGCTTGGAGTGTGAGGAATGGTGTACTACGTGCTGGCCAGACGTTATCTATTGAGGGATCAGTTAACTTCCTTACTCGGTACATGGACTCTTTCATGCTTTGTAGACGGAAGAATGTGCAGGTTGACAACAAAGGGAAGCGATGTGTACTGCCTGGTGGTGCGCGGCAGACCCATGTATTGCCAATGAAAGTGCATAAACGATGGCTTCCACCGGCAGCTGGTACTCTAAAGATAAATGTTGATGGGGCTTTTTTCCTGAATCTGGCAGGGCTGCGGTGGGGGTGATTATTAGAGACCATGAAGGCCACACGAAGTTATCAGCTTGGCGCTTACTTGTCCATTGCAGGGATGCGGAGGATGGGGAGGTCGCGGCGTGTCGTGAAGGGATTGTCATGGCTGCCCGATGGCCTGATCTCCCAGGCTGAAGAGCAAGGAGCAGGATCGCTCGGTGACGTGGTCGCTAATACATGAAGCGCGGCTTGCTACGGAGGATTTATGCAGTTTAGATGTCGTTAAGATTAGGAGTCAAAATAATGTAGCTCATGAACTCGCTCATTTTGCTATTAGGTCGGGTCGGAGTCAAGTCTTTTTTAGTTCTTTTCCTGAGTTTGTTTTGTCTTTGGTCTGTAATGATACTATGCGATTATTAATGAAGTTTTTGTTCGCAAAAAAGAATCAAGGTGTAGTAGAAGTAGAATAGAACTCTACCAAACATGCTCTTATGGTTGGTTTCAATGTTAAATATTACATATGTATACGTATGTGGCTAATGTAATGTTTGTTGTTTGTCTCTCCATTGTAGAACTTGTTGTTAACACAGGAGGGCAAATGATCTGTTACTCATGTAGAACGAATCTTCAGGCTAGGTTCAGACCAAGCAACTATGCAAAGCTAGCGAAGAACCGTCAGAACGGCTAGCGCCGCCATGAAAATCAGAGTTCAGAACACTACTTGTCAAGACCCGAACGAAGCTCTCGTGGCTCGTGTCATACTTATTCGGACCAAATTAACCGTGGAACTGGTCAGGCTATAAAGATTTGCCGTCTATCGCCTCCTTGTCAGCTAAAGAAACGAAACTGAATTTTGTGGGACTCGAATGAAGGATTGTTGGATCCGGCGTATTTTTTGTCTTGCGTCACCACCGCTTCTGTCTCACAAGGCGCAGGCGCACAATACTCTGCTTCCAGCCAGCAGCCACCAGCGCGCCTAGTGTTTCATACTCTGGTTACGAGTTAAGACGTGGCGACGTGTCTTGGTGACATCATACACCGTGCCCTTTTTGAAAGATTTTATTTTTAAATTATTTTTGAGTGCTTTAGAGATATTTTTTGGGGGCAAGATTTGGATTCTCCTCATTGTCTCCAGAAAAGAGAATCTGGCAATCCAGGACCACCTTTTTGCATTAGTTTTGTTCTCGGAAAAAGAGAATTTGGGTCACCTTCCGCGGCCAGTGGGCTTCCTCTTGGAGCGACTGCGGTACTGGGCCAATATCACAGGTAGGCCTGGTCTAAGACATTGCGCCAGTTTCATCTGCAGTTTCTAAACGCAAGTGTAAAACGCGACTAGTCGCGCTGGTGCACGACCGCGTGACGTAGGCTGGCCAATGCACCGAGCGCGGGCGACGCAGCCGGCCCACGGGCGCGCGCCCAGCCGCCACCGAAGATGAAGAAGAGGAGGAGGGGCTCGCCGTGGGCGCGCTAGGGTTCGTTAGAGTTCCGGCGTGCTAGGGCCGGTGGGGGCGTGGGCCGGCGGCGGGGCGAGTACAGCGAGGAAGCGGGGTCGAGGACGACGGCGAGGGAGGGGCGTCGGAGGAGGAGCATGGAGAGGGAGAAAGGGGCAGGGGAGGAGGCGAACGCGGGGTAGACGATGGGGTCGCGCTATAACATCGTCCGTTTCTAAAGGAAAATAGGAGTTCGTATATTGTATTATGTGTATATGGCCTGTTTGAAGTATAGAAAAAAATTTGTGTACTATAAAATTCATAAACGCATGCGAAATGCATCTGTTCCGTCACCCATTCCCGCTCAAAGAAAGCTTCATGCAACCACTGTGACGCCGATCTCTTCCACGTTAAGGCCCCGTTGGCTTCGCTGAAAAATCAAACTGAAAAATATTGTTGATTGATTTATTATGAGAGAAAAATATTATTCCATGACTGATAAGAAGTAGCCCGGCCATTAGGTGCACCGGGCCATACAAGTATCAGTACCACGATGGAACTGTCCATATTGCTGGTGCCAACCGTGGCTAGATACGACATTTCAGGCGGCATGTCATGATCTCATGGGTGGAGCAGAACAAAATTATGATGGGCTGCACACTGCAATAACCAAGCCGTTGGAGCTGCACTCCCTGGTTGTACGCGCACGGCTCCTGACAATGTAAACGCTGCTGCTGGCTCTCGCTTGATTAACCACCAAAATGGCTCGAAAAGCTGCTTTCCGTGTCTGTGTTAAGAGTAACATAACACAGTGCACTGTGCAGTACGTAACGTCGCCGTACCATCCAACGGCCAACCGTTTTTGCAAATCTGTCGTGCTGTGCTGGCTTTCATTTCCACCGCTTATTAACTGATTGATGGCATGGCGGGATGCTGTCGTTCTAACCGTGCGCGTTTATCTGCCTGTCAGTGTCAGTCATCGATGGTGGGTGCCTGCTGTCAACGCGTTTATTAACTGATTGACCGCTTATTAACTGAAAGTCTCGACAAATTTTGCTGGCAACGCGAGGAGGCCCACGATGCAAACATGATGGCCCATGACCTTATATACGCAAGAAGGGTGCCTGCTGTCAGTTACTATTAGTTAAGCGATGGTGGGTGAATACATTCATTGTGATCCAAAATGTATGGAGCATGGATCATGCCCTCATGCGTATTGCGTTGTTCGTCCCTAGGGGCGATGCCTCTTGAGTCTCTGTCCCTCCGTCACCGTGCAGATAATCGGATTCTTACGGATAGCTGTGATGGATGTCATTCGTTTAGATGTCAGTAGCTGCTGATTTTTTTTTCAATAAAAAACCGACTGCTCCTGCTCTAGCTCGTTGCCATCTAAATTATTTTCGCTAACAACTTTCTTTATATCGAAAAAAATCAGATGTCAGCCGGCTGCAGCTAGAGCGTCAGCTAATCGGATCGGATGCAGACATGCAGAGGGTGTTTGCTTGGTGGAGTCAAAGTAGTCTGTCATCATCTCACTCTTTAGTTTTTTTTAATAAAATGGAATAAGCGGATCTATCACCACTTAATTTCTCATAAGCTAATAACTAGTAGTACTAGTATAAGGAATGGGTTAATTTCACTAAATTTGAGAAACTACAATGTGTTAATTCTTCAAGCTAAAGGAGCAAAGGGAACCGCAGCTTCTGGAAATGGCGTGATCAATACTAGTAGCCACTTTATTACTAACACAAGATAAACTGTACAGAAACTGGCGTAAAAAACTTGGAAGTAATAATGGAGATTATGTGATCGCTTTTTCTGCTTGTGGAAATCCCCCAAATCAGTCGTCAGAATCGGTTGCCTCCTGAATCACTGGAACCACGTAAACGATCTTTTGCACGATTTCTGTATGTAGCTAGCTCGGCCTCGTCTACCGTTTGCACTGGACCTTTCTTTCTCTAGACTCTATAAAGAGATGCACGTAGCTGTCACTGTGTATTACCTGGTGACCTAGATTCTATATATACCATTATTACATAATTGATTTTCAGATACGCACGCCTCTATTTTTTACTAAAGGAGGCTGAATCAACAACAGTCTCTATAGAGGTCTTCATCAGGCTCCATCAAGTGAACCACATTTGAAAAATACATTCCTAGATGCTTCTAAAAAGATGGAGTCGGCAGACTTTTGCCCTATTCGTTTGACTTATAAGCCGTATTTTTTCAACCAACGAACAGTATTTTTCTCGCACAACAAATCAGTCAACATTACTTTCAGCCATGGCTTATCAGCCAAACGAACAAAGCATTTAAAGTCGATTTCTAAAGGCAGTTGGCTAGTCAGTTTTAGACGTAGTTGATTTTAGAGATACACGACTACTGTAAAAAACAGTTTCGTCGGTAAAGGTGATATCTAGATCCAATTCTACGTGAATTCGATCAGTCTCCATCCTTAGGAATGAAGCCTCAGTTCCGTGACTCCTCCGGCTTCAGCAGCTCCTTTGGTAAAAACCCTTCACCGGATCCGGACCCTTAGCTGACATGGTAGGAATCCAGATGACTCCCTCCCTCTTTCGGCTTCAGCCTTTCACAGGATTGCGGTGGCACATGGACAAGTGAGGGACGGCACCGAAGATCGGGATAGCAAAGGAATTGACTCGGATTAATTGCAGTTTAGCAATGCGGATGGGGTACCGCATTTTGTTCATACAGTTGCCAAGGCCCTAATCCCAGTATTTTAATCTTATTGTCCTAAATCAATAGCGACTGTTTTCTAATTTTCTTCTAGTAGAAGAATTTTAAGCATACAGTGGGACATGTTGCAAGAGTACCCATGAGGAGTACACTCGACCAGTACTGAACTTGAATATATGGATGAAGGAGGCACCGACGAAGCCTGTAAAATTGATCATTAGCCCACAACGACACCGATGCAACGAAACTAAGAAAAAAAAATGTCAAACACAGCTTGGTCATGGCATTCCCAAATATACTTGTCCTGCAACCAAATCCCAACCAAAAGGGAGACGAGCTGGCCCCAAGTTTCCACGCTCCATTACTTGTCCGCAGCCCGCCGGCCTTCAGATGGACCTCTTGTTCCGCTCCAAGTCGCAAACGGCGATATTGATAGTGCGTCATCAGTACAGAAACAGATGCACCCTTCGCCGTCGGTGATGGTTCGATCTCCAGCCCCCGGCAAGGAAGACATGCCGGCCAGAGCATCCGTCTCTCAGTAAAGTGCTTCGAACCGTACGCTGAACGCTGCAACTACCAGACAGAGACCGTAGTTATGGTGGCCCTGGATATGGTTCGAGGATGCCTGCATTGTTCGTAGCGTATACGTATCCGTTTCTCCTTACCTACTGTACTAGATGATGCTACACGTAGGAACATTTGTATAGGTATACGTATACGTATACACCCGGCCCCACCCACGGACGACGGACCTGCTGTCCGCCGGTCGCGCAGGTGGCTTGCCAGCACAACCGTCTTCTCACCGCGCGGCGCGCGAGCACCGGCCGGACCGCTGCCATCGTCGCCCGTCGGCTTGGGACGGTGACGGGCATTCAATGGCGCGCGGCAAGGCAGGCAGGTAGGGGGCAGTTGAGTGAGGCCTTTTAAATCTAGGGTATAAAATTTTGGGTGTCACATCGTTTGTTATATGTGATGTCGTACAGGTGTTCGGATATTAATAAAAAAAATAAATTACAGAATCCGTCAGTAAACCGCGAGACGAATTTAGTAAGCTTAATTAATCTGCCATTAGCACATGTGTTAGTGTAGCACCACATTATCAAATCATGGGCTAATTAGACTTAAAAGATTCATCTCGAAAAGTAGTCGAAATCTTTATAATTAGTTATTTTTTAGTCTATATTTAATGCTCCATGTATGTGTCCGAATATTTAATATTTAATGAGATATGTGGTAAGCTTTTTGAGATTAAACAAGGCCTGAGTTGCCGCGATACACAGTTCCCTTATGGCCCATGGGCCATGGCCGCCCCGGTCGTGGTCTTGTCCCAGTACGGCTATCTCTCTACCCATACGACCCTACCTCTGTGCGGCTGTGCGTGTTGCGTGCTGACCGCTGAGCGAGCAAGGAGTCCCTGGACTTGGACCCGGCCGATCCCCGGTGGTCAGGGACGGAGCTCAGTGGTGGCGAAACTGGGCTCCGGCCCCTGCTTGCCTGCAGCGAAGTTACGAAGGACCGGTAGCTTGCCAAAGTAGAAAGGCCTGTTACTACGTACACTAGGCTGGGAGTCATAATAGCTGCCTTTTTTTTAATAATGACTTGCTAGCTTTTGCATTCAGTTCTCATTATGTAGCATGACACCTCACTCGTTGTATAATAAGCTGAGACCTACGTATACTACCATAAAATCCTATCGGGCTACATGCTTAGCACTTAATTAGCCCCCCCTTGATGTTGAGTCACGCTCCGTCGCTGCCGGTGGTTCAATCAGTGATGGCACTCTATTTAAGGAGGGCAATGGGGCAGATTCGGATCGGGTGGAATGTCTGGACACCAAAAACCGAAACTCATATATAAAACCCGAAACCACCCCAAACAACAATTCGGGTGAAAATCCATCCCCGAAACCCGACGGATAATCCGAAACCCGGAAAATTCGAGATCTAGGGAAGGGATGCGCCAGCGCCGCCGCCCTCTCGCTCCTCCGCCAAGCCACGCGCCTCCCCTGCACCGCCCGCTCTCGAGCCGCCAGCCGCCGAGGGCAGAGCGCCGTCAGGGACCCACCGACTGGACCTCTATTGTGCGCGCCCGTGCCGTGTGCGCCCACGCCGGCGGATGCAGGAACAGGGCCGAGGAGGCCGCACGCCGCCACAAAGAGAGAGAGAGAGAGAGAGAGAGAGAGAGAGAGAGAGAGAGAGAGAGGTCGCGAACAGGGTGCGGGGAAGGTCGGCGAGGTCGCGCCGTCGCGGACTGGCGAGGTCGCCCGTCGGGGTGTCGGGTGGGTGCGGGCGTGCGGCCGCCGTGCGGCGGTGCGGGGCTCCTAGCCTGGGTGCGGATGAGGGATTGAGGGTTGGCTGAGCACTGAGCAACAAGGATTTCATGCTTATATAAGAGGGTTCTTAGTTGGGCTTCTAGTGGGCTCAATATTTCGGGGCCCCGAATGGAGCTCCACGGATGAAATTCAAGATCCGCCCCAAAACCGCGGTATTTCGGGTATCCGAACCCGCAAATCCGTGGGCGAAAACCAGGAACCGAAACCGAAAACCGCGGACCCGAAACCCGCGGATATCCGCCCCGAACCCGATCCGCTGCCATTCTTAAATCTATTACTGCGGCTGCTGTGCCCCAGAGCTTAGCAGCAGTGAATGAATTATTGGTTCTCCCTTTCTTGTCAATTAACGTCCTGTTCGCTTGTCTTATAAGCTATATTTTTTAGTTAACGAACAATATTTTTTCTCTCAATAAATCAGTCAACAGTACTTTCAGTCATGTCTTATCAGCCAAGCGAACAGGTAGTAATTCTCCCAACTCCCAATCTACTCCCTGGTTTTGGTTATAAATATTGGCAAGCGCCACCTGCTGCAGGGCCATCGTCTGCATCGCTCGCTCTCCTTTCACTGGGAACATCTATCAGCTTGCTCATTGGCCATCTTCGATCGTCTTCCATGGAGAGGTTCTTCGCCGGTCTACTTGGCTTCCTACTGGTCAGTCCCTCACTGCCACGCAGTTCATCTTGTGCATCCTTTTCTCCCTCGTTTGCTTCATCAGCCTTACATGTATCGAGGGACAGATATGAGGGAAGGAATGTCGTTTCGTTTTTTCAGTAATGGCTTCTACAACACTAGTACACGGTTGCTAGTGATGCCTTTGCAAACATTCAGAAGAGATTCAGATTTAACATATATAAGTTGTATATGCCTGCTAATTATATGAGAGCTTTTTTCCTATTGGTATATATATATCGATGCATTTTCAGACGATGTTAAGGTTTTTTCCACTTTCACCCTAGTAATGGCATAAGGTAGACACGATCTCTGATGCAAAGAGAGAACTCTTGTGGTTTGCATGCAGATTGCGTCAGTAGGAAGCCATGCAGCTCGTGCTCCGGATCAATACTGGAAGTCTGCTCTTCCCGACACTCCCATGCCGACCTCCCTCTCCCAACTCCTCAACACCCCAGGTATAACAATTTAACAGACACCTCCATATCTCCAGGCTCAGGCTTCAGTATGTAGATACTTTATATAGGCATGTCCATCATACAAACACACGTAACACTAACACACCTCTTCCCTGCTTAATTATATACGCAGCCGGAGGCACGACCGTCAACGTCGGCTGGGGCGGTGTCCAAGTCGATGCCGGGCACGGTAAGCCCGGGGGTACGACGGTTAACGTAGGCAACGGCGGCGTCGGCGTCAATGTTAACCCTGGCAGCAGCGGCAAGAAGCCCGGCGGCACCACCACGGTCGGCGTTGGGGGGAAAGGGGGAGTCGGCGTTAAGGTCAACCCTGGCTATGGGAAGCCCGGCGGCACCACGGTTGGTGTCGGGAAGGGCGGAGTTGGTGTTAACGTCAACCCCGGCTACGGGAAGCCCGGTGGCACCACCGTTGGCGTCGGGAAGGGTGGCGTTGGCGTTAACGTCAACCCTGGCAAGCCCGCCGGTAGTGGTACCACGGTCGGCGTTGGCGTCAACGTCAATCCTGGCTACGGCAAGCCCGGTGGCACCACGGTCGGCGTCGGCAAGGGCGGAGTAGGCGTCAACGTCAATCCTGGCAAGCCGGGTGGTACCGGCACAACCGTTGGCGTGGGCAAAGGCGGCGTGGGCGTCGGCGTCAATCCCGGGTACGGCAAGCCGGGCGGCACCACGGTCGGCGTTGGCAAGGGCGGGGTCGGCGTCCGCGTGAACCCGCGCAAGAAGCCCGTCAACGTCAACGTCAGCCCTTTCCTGTACACGTACGCCGCATCAGAGACGCAGCTGCACGACGACCCCAGCGTGGCGCTCTTCTTCCAGGAGAAGGACCTCCAGCCCGGTAAGAAGGTGACCGTCCAGTTCGCCAACACCGCGACCACCGGCGCCAAGTTCCTCCCGCGAAGCGAGGCCGAGGCCATCCCGTTCTCCTCCGAGAAGGTCCCCGAGATCCTGAGCCGCTTCTCGGTGGACCCGGACTCCGTCGAGGCGGCGGAGATGGCGCAGACGCTGCGCGACTGCGAGGCGCCCGCGGCCAAGGGCGAGAAGAAGGCGTGCGCCACGTCGCTGGAGTCCATGGTGGACTTCGCCACCACCAGCCTCGGGACCAGCCACGTGAGGGCCGTCTCGACCGTCGTGGCGAAGGAGGGCTCGCCGAAGCAGGAGTACACCGTGACCGGCGTGAAGCGCGCGGCCGGCACCGACGGCGACGGCCGCCTGGTGGCCTGCCACGCGGAGCCGTACGCGTACGCCGTGTTCGCGTGCCACCTGACGCAGCAGACGCGGGCGTACTCGGTGTCGATGCTCGGCAGGGACGGCACGGCCGTGGACGCTGTCGCGGTGTGCCACGCCGACACGTCCGGCTGGAACCCCAAACACGTCGCCTTCCAGGTGCTCAACGTGAAGCCCGGCACGGTGCCGGTCTGCCACTTCCTGCCGCAGGACCACGTCGTCTGGACCCGCAGCGGCTGAGGCTGCTGCTGGATGGCCGCCGTTTGCATTGGTCACGACGCCTGATGGAGTGATGGTTTCGTTTCATTGTGTTCTAGTAGCCTCTAGGCATACTGTCATATTATAAGGAGGTATCGTGAGTTTGCTTATGTTTCCAGTACAGTGTTTGATGCTTGTATGGATGGTGTTGCCAGCCAGTATCGACCACCTGCTTAGATTCTGTTGTATAGTTTTAAATAAACAGACATCTCTCTATGGTTACAGCCTGAACAAACTTCTGTTGATCTCCGACGCTTCGTCTAGCAGAATCTGATATGAGTAGTAAAATTCCAGAGTGACCATTAATTAAACACAAAACAAGTTCCAAAACCATCAAAAGTAAGTTAGCTGAACTGAAACAGGGCTAGATAAGTGGAATGCACACTAGCAATCAGATGCAACAAAAGCTGATGTAATTACGGCTCTCACTTAATCAATGAAATGACATTGCGTATACTCCTAGAGGTCTAAACGAGGAAACGTTAGATCAACCTCTAACTATTTCTCTTCCGTGGTAAATTCTGTCGAATAAATTGGTTGCTTTTACATGTACATGTTTCCACATTTTCAATGCCTTTGATTTACACTGAAATTCTCCCTAGTTCCATACTCAGCAAACATTTCTCGGAATTCTGATATGTACTTTCTTGCCGTGGCAGATAGAAACCATCACAACTATGACCAAGTCTCGATGTTAAGTCTACCAGCCCTTTCTAGATCCCTGAGCCATTTTGAAGCACCCGCTTGTTTGACACCACCTTCTTTACAAATAACCTCCTCTAGTGCAGCTGTAACATCGGCAGGCATTTTCGTCGAAGAGCCCGCAATGTAAATCACTGCATCGGACAGTAATAAGTTCCACACTCTTGAACTCTGTTCCTTTATCTTATGTTGCACATAGACCTTTTGAGGCTGATCCCGGGAAAAGCAACAAATAAACCACCACCCTTTTTCGAGGACAACACCCCCTCATCCTGGGCATGAGTTAACCAGAAATCCTTGTATAAAAAATCGTTATCTTGATTTCTACAGCCAAAGAAGAACAGAACCGGGGCTGTTGGTTCTGCTGCGGCCTGTGCTGCCCTTTCCTCCACAAATGCACGGAGTGGTGCACGCCCTGTTCCTGGTCCAATCAACACGAGAGGAACCAATGGACGTGGAGGAGGCAGGGATCCTTGGTGTATCCAACACGGGATAAGATTGTCTGCACACAAGCATAATGTGAGAGAAGGTAGATGGTTGTGTTTTGGTCAGTACTGAGCAGCGTAGCTACAACAGCTAACTGAAGTTAAGCAGAAGAGAGGATACTAATTGCAGCTAATTCAAGCAGAACATACCTTTATTTGGATTGAGCCCAGCCAGCCATGTAGAGCAGAGTCCATGCCGGGTTCTCTTGTATGGAGTAACCCATGCTACAATGCTAACAGTCAAATGAATTTGATTTGGGTGTACCAGTGGGGATGATGAGATGGAAAAGGCTCTTTTCTTCAGTGGAGGTGTTAGTTGCACCAGCCATTCATGCACTGAAGGAAAATCCTCCAACACCTAAAAATGCCACAAAATCATGTAACTACTGAACCATGGAAATTAACTGAAGAGAAAAATGGGTATATTATTGCCAAAATTATTCTGCATGCCAAGCCATCTATGAGAGAATGTTGTTAAGAAAAAGCTTCAGTGAAGCCTTCCTCACCTCTAGAACAGTCCTACTCTCCTTCTGATTGTACTGGTAAAGATGATCTCTTCCTTCAGGAGAAGCAAAATACTGAAGCCTCTCCTTTTCACGTTCACTTGTTGCAAAAAAGCCCATGACCTACCAAAGAACATTGGAGTTATGTGAGCATTCGCAGCTTGGCATGACATATATTAGTTAGACATCATATTAGACGCATAGATATAAATATGTGACATCAAAAGAATAGAAAAGAGGTTATAAGATTAATTGAAAATATTGGTTCTTGCCTCAAAGAAATATCACCGAGGGGAAGCTGACGCGACATCCATTGTCAAAGCAACAAAGGTCCTTAATTTGATGCGGTCCATCTGGCTATTCACAACTGAACCCTTGGAAACTTTATCCCCACTTCTCACTCCAATCTGAGCAAACAAAAGGACATGCTTTCTCATTAGTTAACTAGATAACTGCAACAGATGAGAACATAAGAAAAATGCACATCTAAGGGCTAGTTTGGCAGCCTCTGCTCTGCGAGATCAGCCTAGGCACAAATTACCCGAAAACCGATAACCGAACCGAAATGTCGGTTTTTCGGTTCCTTGGTTTAGTTTCGGTTTTGGATTCTGGGAACTTCGGTCTTCGGCTTTGGCCTCGGTTCCAGCCTCCCACCAAACCGAGACACCGAATAACCGAAGTGATGCAAACAATCTCGTCTCCACCGCTAAACAGTCACAGCCCACACAGTCCCCTCTACTCCGTTCTCTGGCCCACGGTGGAAGCACCCAGCGGCCCAACTCTTCTCCAGTTCTCTCCCTCCCGCACACACGGGGCGCCTGCAGGCCCTGCACCTCTCCCGCACGCGGCACGGGCATACTCCCCTAACCCTAGCGGCGGTGCAGCGCGGCAGCGGCGCCGTGGCCCATGGCGCTGGGGAGCGGCTCACGGCAGCCCGGGGGGCAGGCCGGCGAGGAGCGGCGCATCTGCTCGGAGACGGACGGCGCCCGGCGGGGAGCAGCGCATCCACCAAGCAGCGGCGGCGAGCAGCGAGCAGCGGTGTCGAAAGGCGAGCGGCGTCGTCGTCGTCTAGCAAGCAGGGGCGGAGGGGCCTAGGCGCATGCCGCGCAGCTGCGAGGGCAGGCCAAGGCGCGGCAGGGAGGCCACGCCCAAGCGCGACGGCGAGCACCGAGCAGGACTTGCAGCTGCGAGGGCAGGCCAGCTTGGCTCCAGCAGACGACGATCGACGGGGCGGCGCGGCTCCCCCGCGGCGGTGTGACGCATCGGCGAGGAGGCTGCGAGGCATGGCCGGCGGGCTTCTGCGAGCAGGCATGAGGTCCTCTAGTTCTCTCCTCTCTCTTTGCTGTCCGTTCGGTGGAACCGAGAAACCGACCCGATGAAACCGAAACCGATCTCGTCGGTTTTTGATTTTGCAAGAAACCGATCGGCTCTTGATTTCTGGAAACCGAAATTTATGTAAACCGAGCAAACCGAACCGAAGTCTCGGTTAAAACCGATTGCCCACTCTGACTGCGAGATTCAGGTGGAGCGCTGCCAAACGCCACTGCTACCGCCCGCTCCGCACGTGAAGCGCTCCAACCGTTTTGCACAGTGGAAAAAACCTGCTCCCCACGCTCTGCTCCACTCCCATCGTACTTCTCTGCTACCCCGCCGCCCTTCTTCGCCGATTCACAACTAGCTGACCTTGACTCATGGGAGCAGAGCACGATTTGCCAGAGTCCGACCTCGATCCATGCGAGGAGGTCAATTCGCCGCTGCCGACCCTGACCCGGCCACGTGCTGACTATATGACGCCGTCGCCTGAGATGGAGCAACGAGAAGCTCTACCAAACAGTTCGTGCGGGAACCTAGAGTGACTAGGAGCGGGAGCTAGAGCAACGGGAAGTTGCATTGGAGTTCAACCATGGCCCTAATTATCTCCCTTCTAACAGATTTATCATTTCAGAAAAGAAAGGTGTAATTGTCTAAACCATCTGATAAACTGATTGTAAAACAAAAATGTTGTTAAGCCACCTGTATTTACAGCTACTAATGGGGATACGACAAGTATTGAAAAATAAAGAAAGTTGCTGTATCAGGATACCAAAAACACAGTTACAAGTAGATAACTCTATTATACAGAACAAAATAGATTCACATACCGTTATGTAACAATCTGGATCCAAGTTACAGCATTCAATGAAGGCATCGACAGCTGATGGATTTTGACTTGGTAGAATTTCAAGAGCATCACCAATTTTATAGTTGATGGCCTAACATGAGAAATATGCAATTATCTTCCTTTACCATTTCTGAAGTATCACATTTCATAGGAATTCATGAGAAAATTACAGTGTAGTATAAAAAAGCACATACCAAAGATGGATCTTCCAATTCAAAGTGGCGAACATCTCTATCAGAACCCTCCTTAGTCAAACGCTGGCTTTTTACCTGAAAAGGGTGTTCAATATCATTAATTCATTAGCAACAGAAACAATAAAGAGATTAGTGCCGAATCATGATACATTGACATAACAGGACCATCATTCTCACCAAGCTTGTTGTCTGCCAAACTAGTCTTTAAAAATTGACATCCAGTATCCACTAGTTAGTTAGGTTTTGCTAAAGTTCAGTTTTCATCATGGGCTAACCCTAGAAGGGTAGCAATGTATATTGGTCATACATGGGCCTCATGGGCCTAATACACTCATACTCCAACACCCCCCCGCAGTCTGAACTACCGGCGCAGCGGAGTTACAGACTGGACATGAAAAGAAGCACACACACGATCCCCCCACAGACGCAACTAGCCAGCAATGATGTTGAGGCTGGAGCGAAACTCGGTGAAGGTCGATGACGGGAGGCCCTTGGTGAAGATGTCGGCAAACTGGGAGGTGGTCGGGACGTGGAGGACCCGAACATCGCCGATGGCAACCCGATCACGGACAAAGTGTAGGTCGATCTCCACATGCTTGGTCCGTTGGTGCTGCACAGGGTTGGTGGAGAGGTACACCGCGACCGACGCGTTGTCGCATGAACCAGCGCTGCTCGGGAGAGAGGGCATGGAGCTCGGCAAGGAGCCGTCGGAGCCGGAGGCCTCAGCCACGCCGTTAGCGACAGCTCGGTACTCCGCCTCGGCCTCGGATCGGAGACCACCGGTGGGCGCTTGACTCGACCAGACACCAGTTGCCGCCAGAAAGACAACAGAGCGGAGGTAGACCGCCGAGTGTCCGGACACCGGCCCGGTCGGCGTCGGTGTAGACGACGAGCTCGGTGGAGGAAGACCACCAAGGAGTAGGCCGTGGTCGGCGATGCCGCGGAGGTAGCGGAGGAGGCGCTTGAGCGCAGTGAGGTGAGGCTCTCGGGATCATGCATGTGAAGGCATATCTCAACATCTTGCATAGGTGATGTCTCGGCCAGTGAAGGTGAGGTCTCAAGGGCACCTGCAAGACTCCGATGGCGATGGGGTTGCCACGGCGGTTCCCACGACCTCGACGGCTTACCTTGCCTGTGTCAACCGGAGTAGAGCGAGGCTTGCGAGTTAGTCATCCCAAAGACGCCGGATATCAAGAGTGTACCGCCACCGGTGAAGGAGAAGGCCGGTGGGGCGAGGCTCAACAAAGGACCCCGAGGAAGTGGTGGAGCACACCAAGATCCTTCATAGCAAACTCCTGCAAGAGAGGCGATGACACGGTGAGTAAGGACGAATCGGAGGTCGTGAGGACAATATCATCAACGTAGAGCGGCAGATAGGGCGCCTCGGCTCCATGGTGATAGATAAACAGGGGGCGATGTCGACTTGGCCTCCACAAACCCCAGCAAGGTCGGCGGAAAGCAAAGAAATCGAGAATACCAGGCCGGGGGCCTGCTTGAGCCCGTAGAGACTTGTTGAGCCGGCGAGACCATGTCCGGACGAGAAGAGTCAACAAACCCACTGGGTCGGCTGCGATGAGACCGTCTCGGTGAGAGTCCCGTGGAGAAAGGCATTTTGACGCGTCCAAATTGATGCACGGGCCAAGAGCGGCCCGAGAGCCGGGGAGAGCATCAGTCGTCTGGTGGCCGGCTTCACCACGGGCTGAAAGTCTCATCGTGTCGACTCGTATACCGAGTGAAACCCCGGAGAACCCAGCGAGCCTTGTACCTCTCAAGGGAACCATCAGCCCGCCGCTTGTGTGTCCAGATCCACTTACCGGTGACGACGTTGGATCCGGGTGGACGGGGCACCAGATCCCATGTCTGGTTGGCGAGGAGAGCCGCGTACTCCTCTTCCATCGCGCGGCGCCAATGAGGGTCCGACAAGGCGTCGCGAACGGAAGAGGGTACAGGAGAGATCTGCGGGTCGTCGGGCATCGTCGCGAGAGCCCGGGGCCGCAGGGTACCAGCCGCGTGTCGCGTCACCATAGGGTGAACATGCCGCGGGTGTCGGTGAAGGAGTTGCGGGTGGTACACCGGCGACACGACACGGCAGCTGACTGCGGCGGCGGCGGCGATGTAAGGGTCGCCCGGCGGAGAAGGGGCCACCGGTGGTGTAAGGCGTCACCATGGAGAAGGGACCCGGTGATGCCGGAGGCAGCGGTGCCGCCGGATTACATCAGCGCCGATGAGACGATGCACCGGCCGGGCGAACGCTAGAGAGGTGCGACAGTGGCGTCCCCGACCAGCTATGGACGTAGGGTAGGAGCAGCTCGAGGGCGACGCCCCGGACCAAGCGGCCTTGCAGGCAGGCGTCCACGGTGGGTGGCGGCGGGGGGCACGGGGCCGGCGAGGGCACACGGGAAGCGATACTGCGAGGAGACAATGGTAAAAGTGGTTTGGACCACCGTGTTAGTGGGAAACAGAGAGAAGGGGTCCGGATCGGGGGTGGGAGATGGTGTGTTGGTGGTGGAGAAGGGGAAGACAGACTCATCAAACACCACATGGCGAGAGATGATGACCCGACGGGAGGTGAGGTCAAAGCACCGGTACCCCTTGTGATCCGGGGAGTACCCAAGGGAAGACACACACAGAGCGGAACAGGGAGCCACCTTGTGGGGAGCGGTGGCGATGGTGTTAGGGTAACACGCACACCAAGACACGAAGGTGGTCATCTGAGGAGGGGTACCAAGAAGCGTGGTGTGGTGTGGGAGCCAGGCAGCAGCGGAAGGAAGGCGGTTAAGGAGATAGGTGGAGGTGTGCAGACTCTCCGCCCGAGCGGCGAGTAGCGGCGCTGGAGCGAAAGAAGGTGCGGTGGTGTCGTTCGTGGTGCGAATCATGCGCTCGGCCTTGCCGCTCGGGAGGAGGTATCTGGGCAAGACATGCGCACCGGACACCGTGAGAGAGGAAGAAGGCACGGAGGTGCCGTTATCGAACTCACGGCCATTGTCACACCGGGCGGCCTTGATGGTGAGGCCGAACCCGAGTAGACACCCAGCGAAAAAGTGGAGAAGAGTGGTGAAGGTATCCGACTTCCGCGCAAAGGGAAAAGTCCACGAATAATGCGAGAAATCGTCAAACCACCACAAGATAGTATTTATACCCGAAATGCCGATGACAGGAGATGTCCATAGGTCGTCGCGATGTACAAGATCAAACACATGCGTAGCATGTGAAGAAGAACAAAAAGGGAGACGAACATGACGGCCCAGCTGGCACGCATGACACAAGTGCTCATCGTGAGCCCGAGTACAACCAATGTCGGAACTGCGACTAAGCTGCGTCAGAGCATCACGTCCAGGATGGCCAAGGCGACGGTGCCAAGTGGTGGAAGGAGTGGCGGCGAAGGCAGCTGACAAAGTAGACGGCGACGAAGAGGAAGCAGACGCCGGAAACCGAAGGGTGTAAAGGGGTCCCGTGCTGTCACATCGGAGAAGAGGACGCCGGAAGCCAAATCCTTCTGATGAAGACCGAAGAGTCAAATTCAACGAACAAGAATTGTCACCAGTAAAAGCAGCGAATAGAAAGAAGGTTGTGAACCATAGAGGGTGCAACAAGAATGTCGAGAAGACGAAAGGAACCATGAGTGCGGCGGCACCACCAGACGTCGAATCGAATACACGAACCATTCGCGACCATGATGGACGAAGGATGAGAGGAAGAAGGAGGGTGAATAGAAGAGAGTATACCAGGGTCTGGAGTAGTGTGGTAAGTGGCACCCGAATCGGCAATCCAGTCGGTACCAGCAGGCGGTGTCAGGGCCATGGTGCTGAAGGATCTGGCCAAGGCCGCCGGGTTCCAACCGACAGGCCCGGGCAAGGTGTCGGGAGGTGGCACCCACGAAGATGCGCCGGGAGGGGGAGCCCACGCAGATGGGGAGTGAAACCCCGGAGGAGCTCCAGTGAGCAAGGCTGCAGGTGGGCGAGGCTCTCCGCCTGGAGCCGGGAAGGGCCACATGGAGATGCGCCCCGACCACGGGTTGTGGAAGGAGGGCCAGGGTGCACCCCGTGGAGTCGCGGGCGACTGCACCGGTGTGTGCGACTGCACCGGTGTGTGGTGGCTTCCGCGGCCCCCACGTCCCCCTCCGCGGCGACGGCGGCCGCCACGGCCCCCCCCACCCCCGCCCGGCCCGGGGGGAGGAGAACCAAGAAGCGACGACGGCGGTGGAGCGAGGGAACGCGCCGGAGGAGTAGCGGCCAGGGCAGTCGAGGAAGACGAGGACCCTGGCGTGGAGGTGGACCCTGGCTGGACGCCCTGAGTGAGCTCCTCCATGACAAGGTCGTCACGGACCTGCAGGAAGGAGGGAAAGGGCCTCTGCCGGGTGATCCACGTCCGGAGGTGCGCGTAGCGGTCACTGAGCCCGCGGAGGACATTGAGGACCAGAATGCGGTCCTCCACGGGCCAGCCAAGGTCGCCGAGGGAGTCCGCCATGCTCTTCATGCGCCGGCAGAAGTCGCCAACGGAGAGGTCACCCTGGACGAAGGTGCGGAAGCTCGCATCGAGACGCAGGGCCCGGGCTTCGGCATTGCCCAGAAACTGGCCCTCGAGCGCAAGCCAGGCCCGGCGAGCGTCAGCAGAGTTGCGGACGAGGTCGTGGAGGTCCAGGGAGATCGTCCCGATGATCCAGGAGAGGACGACGCTGTCCAGGCGCAGCCACGATGAGGTCTGGACTGCGACCGAGGCGTCGACTAGGACGTGGTCGTCGAGGGCGTAGCGGCGGAGGGTGAGGAGAACCAGGTCCCTCCAGCGGGCGTAAGAGGGCGACTCCGGTTCGAGAACGACCGGGACGAGGAGTCGGATGTTCTGGACACCCCCGGCCTGGTAGTGGAGCTGAGCGACGTGCGGGTCGGCCGGGTCGTGCCAGATGACCGTGGTGTGAGACGCGCGGTGACCCGTCGAGCCTGAGGAGGTGGCCGCGGTGTCGTAGGATGTAGGGAGGACGAGAAGCTGCTCCGCCTCAGCGATCTGGCGGGCCAGGGCATCAGCCGCGTCGCGCTCGCGCTCCAAAGCGAGGGCGGCCGCCCGCACCCGGGCCTGGCTGTCAGCAGCAGCAGCCCGTGCAGCCACGAGAGCAGCGGCGAGAGCGGAGTTGGCCCCTGCCGTCTGGAGAGGGGCAGGGGGCGGCAGAGGAGGAGGAGCGGGGAAGAAGAAAGGCTCCAGTTCTCCCGCCCCAATGGCGGCGAGGCATGGTATGTCATGCGCCGCGCCCGCCCTACAGCAGCCAGCCGGCGCGCAGTACCAGTTGCCCAGCCCAGCCCGCGCCCATGGCGGCAGGTTGCTTATGCCCAGCCCAAGGCAGGGTGGGCCCCTGCCAACACCGCCACAATGGCAGCGGGCAGCGCCAACGCCAAGAGCAGCAGGGCCAAGGCCACATAACAATGGCCACACCCACCCACGCCATGCGCCCATGCCATGAACAACAACAAGGGCGGGCCGAACCATCCATCGTCATGACAAGGAGGCCAGCGCCCATGTGGCTACCGGCCCAGACGGAGTAGGGAAGGGAGGGGAAAGCCTGGAAGTAGGTTGGGGAGGGAGGGGGAGGGCGGCCAGCCATGGCGGCGGCAAGGAGACGGCCGGCGGCGCCTGGCGGCTGGGTGGGGAAGGGGAGGAAGAAAGCCTAGTCTGATACCATGCTAAAGTTCAGTTTTCATCATGGGCTAACCCTAGAAGGGTAGCAATGTATATTGGTCATACATGGGCCTCATGGGCCTAATACACTCATACTCCAACAGGTTTGACTTTATTTCACCATTGTAAACATCTTGGAACGCCAAAAAGACCTATCGGGGCAAAAATCTATCAATCTATAACGTGTAACTTCAAGCTGACCTCAGTACTGCAATGATAGTGATTAGCTGCTCGAATTCAGCTCGTTGCAGGCTTGATTCGAGCTCGACTCAACAGGAGATCAAGCGAAGCTCGAGCTCAGGCCAAAGCTAGCAAGCTTTTATCGAGTGATCTCAAGTAGCTTGATGGAGCTCGTGTTAGTTGATTTTCTAGCATGTTTATCTCCTTTCAAACTTACAGGCAGTCAACAAAGGCCCAAGGCCCAAGCAACTACCAGACTAGCAGACCACAGAGCCCACTCCTGTGTCCATCCCTCTGAGTCACCGATGCCATCCCTATCCTAGCGTTGCTTATTACCAGTGACTCAGTGAGTGCTGTCTCACGTCACTGGCCAGCGACAAGCCGACCACCACATTCCTCACTCTCCATGCCAGTACCCTCCGCCATCGACCATCATGCCTCTCTCCCCAAACGGCCTAACCACCCCCTTCGCAACTAGAAATGTACTGCACTGCCATGCTCGACCCCACGAATATCCAGGTTGAGCTCCTGAAGACCTCAACACAGATATACTATTTCTCGAATTTGCTATCTTGTTCTTTTCCTTCGATTCATCCACTCGAGCGTTTTTTGAAGCATCCCTAGTTGTATCTTTGGACTGTGAATTTCTCGTTTGGGATCATGTCTTCCTCCATCCTCCCCATGACCATGACCATGACGTCAATGTAGATGCTGGTGGTGAGCTTTTCCGAGCCAAGCTCGAGCTCCACTGCAAGATCGAGCAGGATCCTGAGCTTGCTCGGGCTCGGCTCGAGAGCATGACCAGCTCAAGCAATAAGCAGGTGTCATGTGGGGCAGCCGGGGACCGGCTGCATGCAGCCAGGACGGTATCCCAGGGGGTGCCGGCTGTAATCAATGGCAATTAGAGTCTAGGGAAGAGATTATAGTTAATGAGAGATTAGAGTCATTAATGTTGGGGAGAGAATCAAGGAGCCAGAGGCTGGGTGCCCAAGGGCTGAGCTCCTCTATTTATACCCTGTAACCAGTTTAGATTGAGGAAGCAATGAACAACAAACAATCTAGTCTCCCCCAAATATTCTAGTCTCCCTCCACGCCGACTTTGCCCGGCCTTCCTCTTGGCAATGGTTATCCTCCTTATCCCCGATATGAACTAGGGTTCATATCAGCAGGTAAGTTCACTTGAGCTCGGTTCATTGACAGCCCTATTTGGGAGGCACGTGCCTTTTTCAACAATGAATTTTGTTACTCTAGAGTCCAGAAAATAGTTTTTAGTACCACAGGAACAAAATTTAAATAATATCTATGACTCGAAATGGTCAGTAAGTTGTAATTATTATGGTCTCAAAGCAAAGGAAAACTAATTTAGATATGAAACAAGGATTAGAGATAACAATGATTCAAGTTCAAGCTGTGTAAAGAGCATATTACATACCATTTGAAGCATGTAAGGTGGCTCTCCATCAGCGTGGAACCGTAGTGCAGGGGGCATTGATCTTGCGCTACTTATTATTTTACTGGGGTCTGTGAAATAGACAATAGCTAAAATCATAAACAGGTACTGCAAAATAGAGCATGCCAGTAAATAATACTCAGCTCATCCATTCATACCTGAAAGTATAGGATCTTGTGAAACTTCATTGGAAGAGTAATAAATGACATGAATTTTTGGATCCCCCAAAATACTCAAATTAGAATCATTGATATCAGACACTCTAGGTAAGAGTGATGGATTAATTTCATTCAGAGATTTCCACAGAGATAGCAACCAAGGATCTAAAGCCCCTTCATATCTGATGTTGCACAATGAAGAAAATCCATTAAAGTTGAGAAAAAATGCTTCTGAGGGAAAAGAAAATGACAATGTACAAATTTTACAACCACAATGTCACAATTATTTACACAAAGCAAGTGAGATATTAAAATCATACCCTGAAGGGTGTTGGTCATCTCCCAGACCTATCTCTAGAACCGGTTCTGCACCAAGATGTAAAAGCCTTCTATCAAGCTTCTTTGCAGCAAACTGCAGTAGTAAACGCACTAATGAAGGGCAAACAGAAACAAGAGGGCCATTGCAAACCAGAAGTCATGACTTATGAGAAGCATATTACAAGCTTACAGCCTCGTTTGATTGAAATAAGATACAAATACAGTTAAGGATAGAGCAGAATGTATGTTCAGAATATACAAAAGGAAAAGTTACAATGTTGTGTTGAGGTGCATGCAAATGTTATCTGAAGCTGCTACAGTGGTCATATTAGAACTTAAAAATATACTAGCTTCAGTTTACAAGCATTCATCTAAACAGTACTAGGACTAAAAAAACAGCTTTATATCTCCCCCAAATATGGTGCTTAACACTTAATTGTTCATCGCAACCACCCAAAGCAAAGGGAACAGAGTCACTGAGCAGTATATGTCATTATAACCATATACTATTCTCTAATGATGCATGGTGTGGAACGTTATTCTGGCAATAAGTCACTAAAATGTAGGCAACTAACTGTAGTTATTTCAACAAATCTACACACATCATTGTACTGATGGCAACATATAATATGATTATTAGCAAGCTCAATTAGCCAGAAAAAAGTCTCACGTTGTACTTCTGGTAGCCTGAATCCCAGAGTCCAAACACTGCATGATGGATCCCCTCGAGCCATTGTCTGTCCAGATCCTTCCGAAGCAGGTACCTCCAAAACCCCTGCCGCAACATCCAACCAAAATCCCAATAAGCAATTCAGACGACTGGAAATAATCTAGTGGATCAAAATGTCCAGACCTTCATGGAATCCGGGGGATCGCCCTGCCCCGTGGTGGACACGACAAAGACCACGAACCGCTCGCTTGGCAAGCGACTCTGCACGAACAAACAGAGGCGTCACATTCGCACATGCACGGGTTGTGTGGCTGAGAGCTTTAGGTTTTGGAGCTTACGGGATCGAAGCTGTCCATGGAGAGCACGTCGACGGCCGGGCAGCCGCCACGTTCTGCCTCGCGGCCGACACGCTCTGCCTCTGCGGCGTCCATGGCGTTCCCAGTTTGTGACGCGTAGAGCACGAGGAGGCGGCCGCTGGGGGACATCGCCGAGTCAGCCTCCGCAGACGAGGGTGCCATGGAGTACGAGCTCAGAATCCGCTGCCTGCAGTAACCTAGCGGCGGCCAACAAGCGCAGCCAAGAGGCGCCTCAATCGGCTCACTCCGCCCAGGTCACGCAAGCTCCTGCCGCCGCTGCAGCGGTTCGCCCGTACGATCGCCTACCTTGAGCTTGGTGCTCGCTGGGCGCACGTGCCTCCCTTGTGTCCGGCGGAGGCGGCAGCGGCGGCGGCGGTTGCCAAGCGAGACTATGAGAGGGGGAAAGGGTAGGAGGGCGAAAGAGAGTTGCTTTCTTGCCCTGTTGACCACGACAAGGCCCAACCTATATGAGTATTGGGCCTAGCTCGGGCTGGATTCTAACGTCGTGATGCCGTGTTGCCTTTCACATTGGGCTCATTCTTTGGTGACGCCCCCATAGGTCTCAGCTTTCAAACACTTTCGTAGATTTCTTTTTTCAAAAAAAAGGAATTTTATTCCGATCTGTGTAAGAGTTTGCACATAACCAATTCTTATTACAGTTTCAGCATTTTGCTGTTTTTTACTCTAAAAAGAGAAAACAAACAAAGAGATATATTGACTAAACGCTAAGCCTTTCAAAGACAACCATCCATGCTTGGCGAAATTTCTAGAAACCTTTGACTCTTATAATAATGGATGTTTGATCACAAAACTCATGTAGAAATTGGATAGAAATTCCTGATATCTAAAGAAATAAATTCTACATAGGAGTCTAAATGAATGTCATATAGTGCAATCCTTTGTCTTTATTGAACTGCATGCTCCGACTAGTTTAACTAAAAAACTTAGGCAATTAGAAAAATGTGCTCCCCTCAAAAACTTAAGTTGTTAGGAAAATGTGCTCCCCTAACGTAAGGCTCCCTTTGTCCTTAAACTTGGAAGTAGAAGTCGAGTGCAGTTATTTTGTTTTATTTTATTGTGCTTGTTGTGATTCGAAGACAAGTAATTCATTTTACTTCAAAACTTTTCCTAACATTGAAGCTCCCTCAGACCTCAGCCTTCAGACGTGGAATACAAATGAGCAATTATTATTATTTATTTAACTAGCAAATATGTTTGTGCGCTACAATGGAACCCAACACGTCTTGACTCTTGAAATCATATTCTGTGCCATCGTTGAACGCTAGCTAAGATTAGAATTTGAAACCTTTGGCTCTGATATCGTATTTAGTTCTATGCCAGTTCAACCCAAAAGACTTAAACTGATGGGAGAATGTCTATAATTCACTGCCAATGGATGCTAGACCGGCTGGTCAAGCACTCCGGGTGGCAACCTCGCGGCCTGGGTTCGATCTCCCACGGGGGGCGAATTGCAGTGCTGGAGGTAAAAACTCTCGTCTGCCCCGCGTTACCCAAAGCACAGGTTTGTGGCACCGTCCCACTCACAGGGTAACGGGCCCCTCTGTACAGGTGGCGAGGTACAAGGTTCGTGATTTTTTTAGGACTGGGTGAGGAGACCTCTGCTTTAACGCAAAATGCTAGGGAGGGGGCATGCTATCCCTGCAGTCCGAGCCTCGAGTCTTACATGGATGCATATAAATCATCGAGCAAAATACATGAATAATGTGCGCATGCATCATCATGGGGAGCAACAATTAATATATACAATAGTGATACACAGTCACTTCCAACGGATTTCGTACCTGTCCTAGATGTCGTGTAACACAGAGCGCTTGCACTTCCAACGGATTTCGTACCTGTCCTAGATGTCGTGTAACACACAGCGCTTGTTTGTCGTAAACCCCTGCTGCTATTATGTAATCATGTCTACGTCGTCACTCGTCAAGCAAGCAGCATAGGATCGGACTAGCTATATATACAGTACTATATAATATGTGTACTTGCATATAAGTACTCCTTTTTTTTTTTGGTAGCTTCTTGATGACAACGCGATCAGAGCTATATCCAATTGCACAGAGGTCGTACAGATCAATATATAAGCTAGCTAGGTAGCTCAAAAACTATTTGGTTGGAAGCCTGGTAGGCAAATGCCTGCAGATTCTGGTTTTCACATGCATTTTTTAGGCAAGGACTGAATGAAGGACAAATGCGTGCGCCCGTGCGCGGCGCCTCACCAAACACGAACTACCAATCCACAGAAATGACAGAATGGATGCTTCTATTCCATGGCTAGCTTTGCATATAATGCATATAGAACTCCAACTAAGCTGCAGAGATCAAGAAAAGCTGTGTTCCAAGGAAACGTACGTACGCACTCTCGATCATTGTTTGCTCCAAAAGTAACGAGACAGAGAATAACGTACGCGAGGGCCGTTTCATTCAGCTTTACGTACTACTTCGTGAAACGTGCGTTAGCTGCTCATCATCATCTATTTTATTTTATTTTATTTTATAATAAAAGGGCCGGCCGGCGGCAGTAGTCTGGAGCAAGCCTCCGATCCATGCATCGGCGGGCCGGATCGGAAAGGGGAGGGGTAATGCCTAAGCCGGGGGGCGGGCGGACGGGGCGGTTGAACGGATTCAGCAGCCACCAGCATTCCAGCATCAGGGGTAGTTGAGATATATATGGTCGCTCACTTGCTCGATCATCTCTCCCTCTCTCTCTCTGCAGTCTTTGCGCGTGCACGTTTACCCAACTAAATCTCCTCTAGCTCATCTTCTGGTGCCTTCTCGTTCACTCACACTTCAGCTAGCTCTGCAAGGACCGTACGTTGGCAGCCCTGCCTGGTGATGAGTTGTTGCTTCTATAAATCACAAGACATGTTGTCTCAACTCTCAAAGGCGCCTACACGTGTGACACGACGTCGTCCCACTAGCTAGCTAGAAGCAACGCAGGCGCCCGGACGATGGATTCAATGGAGAACCAGCAGCTGCAAGGAGACGAGTCGTCGTCGTCGCACGCGCTCCCCAGCTTCCCCTACTTCGCCGTGCCGTCGCCGCCGTATGCGCCGCCGCCGAGCTTACCGTTACCACCATCGGATGACCAGCACAGTACCCTCATCACAGCGCTCCGGCAGCAACCGTTGTCGGCGTGCAATAACGACGACCTTCCTCTTCAGCTGGGGCCTGATCAGCTAGCGGCGGCGGCGGCTGCGTTGGCGCCGATGGTTCTCCCGCCGATGGTGGACTGGTCGGCGCTGCTCCAGCAGGCCAGCTTGATGGGGCCCCTCGTACCGGGACTACTGCAGCAAGCGGCGCCTCTGGAGCCGTTGGACCAGAGCGGGGAGAACGACGGCGGCGACGCAGGGAGTAGTAGTAGCAGCAAGGAGAAGGCGGCGAAGGGCGGCGGCGGCGGCGCGGCCGGGAGGTCTGGGAAGAAGAAGGCGAGCAGGCCGCGGTTCGCGTTCCAGACGAGGAGCGTCAACGACATCCTGGACGACGGCTACCGGTGGAGGAAGTACGGGCAGAAGGCCGTCAAGAATAGCGAACACCCCAGGTTCGATTTCTCCATGTTTTCGTTTCAATCATTTTCGTGCATGGCATGCATCCATAGCCACCGACCTTGATCGGGCGCATGCATGGCGCATCCATGCACACACGCGGATCAATTATTGCATGCATAATTGCATATACGAACTTGCTGAAATATGGTGTTTGCAAAGCACATGTGTGCATGTAACATGTGCGTTTCGACTTTCGATTGGCATGCATGTTTGCATATATGCATGCATTCAAATGTCATCAGCTAGGTCATCATCATCTCGCTTACAATTTAATTAGAAAACAAATTGATGGAGGTTCAACGCTCCCGAACTAATTTGCATGGCAGCATGGGTACGGTCGTGTGTGTCAGCGAGTGCGCTAAGCCGTGTGTGTGTAATTCGTGTCTATAAAACCACCGCCTAGTATTGTTGTTCGCCAAATTTCTATCTACACATCTACTCGCTTGTCCGCGTGCATATCAAAATGACAACATACATGTCGTTCCTCTATAGCAGCTAGTCGATGGCCTGGAAAGACACTACTTATGATGCCATCTACTTCCTCCATTCTAAATTATTATTGCTTACTTTTGCTTTGTACTAAGTCGTACTTCTTAAACTTTACCTAGGTTTATAGAAAAATATATTAAGATCTACAAATTCAAATAAATGCCCTATCAAGATATATTCACAAAAAAATAATGGAACTAATTTGGTATTATAGATGTTGTTGAGCATTTTCCTATAAATTTGATTAAAGTTCAAGAAGTTTGATGTAGCATAAAGCTAAAATTAACTATAATTTCAAAAGAAGAAAGTATTAGAGCATGCAATATATGCATGCCACTAGTACATAAATGGTTGTTGGTGATGCCTCCCTTTCTTTTCATCGGTTATCCATAAAGGATAGGCCCAGTAGAAACAAAAGTGAGAGCCCACGCCATTGATATAACCGTTAGTGTAGACATATCTATACTAGCAATTGGCTTAAGGGATTGCCAGTGTAAATCTGAGATTTATGCTGGCGATAATCTTATGAAAACTGTCGGTGTAAATAGAATCTATATTGGTGGTACCTTTAAGAATACCATCAATGTAAACCCAAGATTTATACTGACGGTGGCCTTAAGAAAACCAAAAGTATAGACGTGTTTACACTGATAGTTTTCCTAAGCTGGTTGCGAGTATAAAGAATTTGTTTTTTTTAAATGATCTCGGATGGAGAAATAACCTAATTCCCAAGTTATAGTGCTTGAAAAAATCTGAAATTTTGTAGTTGGCTACTTTTTTATTTGAAACCATTAAGTACTAGGAAATTTTATTTATTTTAAGTTTTTAGATTTTGAAATCCAAATTTTTTGAATCCAAATGACCTTGGATGGAGAAAAGGCTTAAACCAAAGTTGTAGTAGTTCTCGATGAGATCTAAAATTTTTAAGTTCATTTTTTCATATAAATTTATTTAGGATCTCAAATATGCATTACAATATTTGATAAAATTAATACAAAAGGATTGTAGCAACCATTTAGTCCCAAATTCATGTGTTGAAGATTTAGTTGAAAAGGATCAAAGTCTGACCAAACGCGCCCGCGAGTGAAAAAAAATCTTGTGACATGCAACTTGTGAAAAATGGTTGTATATATGTTTTTTTTGCCAATTAACAAAAATACAAAAGAAAAATCCATTTCTAGAGACGATTCAACTATTCTTAAATCGGACTCTAAAACCAACGCCCGTATAAATATATTTCAAGGGTACAGTTGCATATGAGCGTCTCTTAAAAGTTTAAACCGTTATTTGTACAAACGTTTGCTTATAGAGACAGCTGCAAAAACTAGAAACCAATTCTTCGTATCTCTATACAAGTATATATGATCATTATTTGTTACGATGGGATGATCTTGAGCCGAAATGTTATATATATAGACATCCCGATCTGTTGGGGAAAACTGACGGCCGCCGCTGCTGATACATGCATGCAGGAGCTACTACCGGTGCACCCACCATACGTGCAATGTGAAGAAGCAGGTGCAGCGCCTGGCCAAGGATACGAGCATCGTGGTCACTACTTACGAGGGCGTCCATAACCACCCCTGCGAGAAGCTCATGGAAGCGCTCAGCCCCATCCTCAAGCAGCTCCAGTTCCTCTCGCAGTTCTAACCGAAGCTAGCTTTGGTCATATTATTATGTATAATAATTATATATACACACATACAAAGGCACGGCCACCAAAAGGTCAAGCAGACAACATAATAATACATACTCCTAATGCACAAAACTACATATGCTGTGATATGTGTATTGTAGCTAGTATTACTACACAAGAGAGTACAAACGTAAAGTATAGTAACCAACTGGAAGGGGGAAGAAAAGGAGAAAAAATGTGCCTGCCTCCCCGGTACTGCTGATCTCGCGTATATATATGCCATATACCTTGTATATAAAGTTTACAAATATGTATACTGATGAGATGGATGAACATATAGTTATACAGAGTCATGTTTGTTTTAATCTTTTTTAGCATCTCGAGTATACTGCAGTGTAACCATGCCATCTAAGTGTGTTTGGTTGACGCCCTCGCCTACGGAATCATGTTAGACTGGTCGATCCGACCCTATACGATGGAAATTGAACACATGTCGTTGTTGCCTTGGTGGTTTCCCAGCGACCAAATAGGCTCAGAGACCCAATGCTTTGTTGTTGATGATGAGAGTTGGTTCTACAATGTTGTTAGACCAAACCAAGTCTGCTCCAGCCTCGAGGTCATATAAGGTGGGGTCCTGCTATTTGGTTAAGGGACATAGCCCATATAGGAGACGAGGTCATATAAGGCTTGTCTGGACATTCTGGTAAGTAGTTAATACTCATACAACTTAATATTAAAAATAACTTAAGAAAATATGTAATTCAACATAAGTTGCTACATACTAAATATAGAATCAGCTACTAACATATAGAACATAAGTTGTCATCACGTAAAAACTAGTTCTGTAGATCCACCGTAAAGGACGCATTGGTTCAAGCGGAATTGGAAAAAAACACTTTGTATAAAAATCATCTCATTTTAAAAGAGGAGGAAAAATAGTACAAAAGAATAATGAGTATACATAACCTTTTTGGAAATTATATAAAAGTACAGACGGTAAGAAAAATCCTATAATCGGTATATGCCTGTTATAAGCCTGATCAACATGTCTGTTGCAACCCTAATCGACATGTCTGCTGCAACCCCTAACCAGTATACCTACTGTAGCTCTAATTTGGTATATGCGCGGTGACCCTAATCAATATAGATAGTATGAATAAGTATATGAGACCCGTATTTGAGAATGAAAAGAAGTAGCAATCTGATCTGAAATGTATAACGCGTAAGTACAACATTTAGATTGCCATTGCGTAAAATATATTCTAAAGTATATTAATCAGATGTTTAGTTTTGTAGAATTCGTTCTAATCAGCACAGTGGTGCAAGCAAAATTGCAAACGAATACTCGAAGTATGAAATACAAAACAAAAACGCGCTAGCTAGCGCCCGGATGTCCGGACAGACAGGGCGTCCGAACGCCCACACTGCAATCATTTTTTGCGACATTTCACGCGCCCACGTGGGGCTGCCCGCCCGCCCCGAACATCACAAGCTTCGAGAAGAGAGGGAGAAGGCAGCGGATGCCCAGTCGGCGCTGGGAGATGGAGGAGACACCGAGAGGAGGCAGCAGAAGGAGAGGAGGGAGATGCAACATCCGATCTACTTTTGAAACATATTCAGATGCAACATTTGCAACATATGTCTAAAGGCGGATGAAACACTTGAAACATGCATCTGAAACACTTGTAAAAACACTTGAAAGCATTGCAAAAACATACACAATATCCAGATAAAACACCTGCAAATATATGTGTGAAACATTATGCAACATCCATATGAAATACTTGCAATATACCTCCGAAACATCTAAAACACTTGATAAACAGACGCTTGCAACATGCGCTTTCTAGCGTAACATCTACTTGCTGCTTGGACAAAAATGAAAGCTCGTCGACGCGAGCTCGATGCTACGGAGTGGCGCCGAGGTCCCCGGTGTGAAGCTCGTCGGTGGCATGGACCTTGGCAGGGGCCGAGGCAGGCGGATGGAGCGCGGTCGCAACGGGAGGTGCGAGTACAGGCTGGGGCGGCACGGGGAGGGCGAGATCCGTCCCGTGAGTAAGGACGCGCGACGCGAGTGGGGGCGGCGCGGGGGAGGGCGGGATCAATCTCGTGAGTAGGGATGCGCATCACGGAGATGCCGTAGAGCGAGCGGGCGATACAGATGGGGGCGGCGCGGGCAGGATCCGTTCCGCGAGCGGACGACATGGACGGGGTTCGGCACGAGGACCGAACAGGAGCATTGATGAAACAAAAATACAGCGTACTGGCCTGATACAGTGCTTCATACGTATTGCGCACAAGCTAGCCCACAAGGCATTTCTTTTTGTACGTGGGCTGCCTCTCCGGCAGGTGTGCACAAGGCCAGACCAGGCCAGCTCAGCCCAGCCCAGCCCATCCAGCTCAGCCCAGCAGCCTACTCGCGCTTAGGTCAAGCGAAGCCCCGAGCGCGAGCGATAGAGTCAGCGTGCGCGAGCTCCGCCCCCGCAACGACTGGGCGGCCCGTCGCTGCCGCCCTGCGCCAGGTGCCCAGGTCTTCTTCGGGCCCTTCGCCGGCGAGCACCACGCCCACCCATTGCCATTGGTCTGCCCTTCCCGCCGTGCGAAACCGAGCATCCAAGCCCTAACTTACTATTTGTATTCGGATCTGATCTAATTGCAAGTGTATATGCGCACTAACTCCGATTGTCTTGTAAAAAACTTATCGGGTGTACACCCATGTACTTCACTGGGTCCGCCTCTTTCTCTGGGGGCCATGAATTTCAGCTGATGAACTCAATTGTCTAAAATCTCATTTTTCTCAACAAAAACCGAAATTGCTTCATTTCTGGTCAGATGTGCTAACATAGATGGTTTGTCGTCCCCTGAACCAAAGTGAATGTATTTATTAGTTATCTAGTAGTTTTCTAAAGCCGCGGTCATTAAATTACGCTGTATATGATGGGCATGGATTACATGGTTGTAGAGCGACGAAATGAGTTAATGTGGCCATGCAGTAATTCGTTTTTATGAAGCTATAATAGCACATATGTATTCTTGTTATGATTTTGTTCTTCGGACAGGTTCCTAACTGCAGGGTTAGTGCACTCAAGCTGCTTATTTGCTTACATATCTTTCCCTATCTATTGCAATGTTGCAGGAAGGGGGAAAATTATTCAGGAGATCCAGTAACTGGAAAATGAATAAGGGCAAGATTTTATAGTTGGCTAAGGGATTTAGAGGAAGGGCGAAGAATTGCATAAGGATAGCAAGGGAGAGGGCCGAGAAAGCCTTGCAATATTCGTTCAGGGACAGGCGTAACAAGAAGAGGGATATGAGATCCCTTTGGATTGAGCGCATCAATGCCGGTACACAATTGCATGGGGTATGTATCTATTGCAGTCAACTTGTGAAAAAGAATGGAATTTTGGCATTTGTTGGGAACATATAATCATGCTAATTTTTTTTGAAGGTTAATCATGCTAATTTTAGACCATCGAGTTCAATGCAATACTACCTGCCTTGCATTGTACTGTTGAAGTACTCATAGCTTTCTTGCATTTGACTATCAGGTGAATTATGGCAACTTTATGCATGGATTAATGAAGGAGAACATCCAACTCAATAGGAAGGTGCTCTTAGAGCTGTCGATGCATGAACCTTACAGCTTCAAGGCGCTTGTTGATGTATCGCGCACATCATTTCCAGGGAACAGGCCTGTCAGAAAGGAGGGTCTAGCAGCTATCCTGTGAAGCATATTTTCCAATGTGTCACTGAATTCATTATGGTCTTCCCTTCCTTGCAGTCCAGAGTTACTAATCCTATCTAGTAGCTTGTATTACCTGGTGACTCATGTAATTTTGCATTGCTAGTATTTCTGCTAGTCCCTTTTGCTACTACTTTTGATAGACATGACTGAACCAAAACACCTAATTACACATTATTGTTCTTTTGACCCCCATCAGTTGGCTTTATGGAGATATAATCCTCTGTGTGATGTTGTCAATTTCAGCAATCAAATTGATTCCGTATCAAGGTAAAAGAGATTTGACCCATGTGGCTTATCAAAGTTTGCAAGATTGTTATTTTCTGTTGTCTGCCAAGTTCGTTGCATGCATTTTGAAGAAACTACACCGACCAAGCAGCCCTTCTAAGTTCTCAATAAAAAAAAAGGAATCTCTTGTATGGGCCTTTCCTTCTTATCGAGGTAGAATGTATGCTGGTTAAGAATGTTATTTAAGTTCCAGTTGAAAGACTTATGGAGCATTCCTGCATGATAACTGTAGCCCTGTTACTAGTTACTGTGTCTTCACCTCCATACCTCTTTTGATTAGCTACTGGTCATGTAACTTGGCATCTTGTAAACAACTTGTTTTTCATAAAAGATTAAACGCTTACCAAAGTGTTCCGGTGTGTACAGGGACTAGGCTAACTTTTCTGTGCTGGCGACATGGCATAAACACTTATCTTTTCCTTAGCAGAGCAAGACGAGAACAAGAGACAGAAATTCGTATTCGAGGGAATGTGCACATCGCTTTTGTTCCCATCAAATCTGCACATCGCGCGCTTTTGTTCCCATGCAAGTGAAGTGAGAACACTGCACGTTGATCGGAGGAGCGAAGCCGGCCATGCAAGTGCGGCCTGTTTGGATGGTGACTGCCAGGCAACTCAGAAGACAGGCAAGAATGCCAGGCGTCCGATTTCTTGTGCCTGTGGCCAGGATGCGTTGCCTGGCAGGCAGCCAGGGCCAGGGCATCATCCAAACAGGCCCCAGGTGCGCTTTGAGCTGCTAGTTTCTCTCTAGCTGGAATGCACTAAAAGTTTTCATCAATCTGGAGAATAAAATCGCAGCGCATCGTTGCATTATCGACAGTGTCTCTCGAAAATTGTTAATCCACAACTTCCTTTTTTTTCGGTGTCTTTACAGGTTACCGAAAGGGACCTTAGTGTCTAAGTATACTGGAAGCTGAAAATTTGTGTGAACTGCGGAGGAAGTTCATTGAGGTCTTTCTGCTTCCTTTGTTCATGCGTTGCTCTT